CTCATATGGTTCTGTTCAGGTAAAGCTTGTTTTTTTTTCTTGAAATTAATATGATATATGTTATGCACTACCATTCAAAAGTTTGAGGTCAGTAAGATTTTTTAATGTTTTGAAAGAAGTTTCTTATGCTCATTGAGGCTGCATTTATTTGATCAAAAATACAATAAAACAGCAATGTTGTGAAAGATTACTAAAATTTAAAATAACTGTTTTCTATTTTAATGTATTTTAAAATGTAATTTATTCTTGTGGTGGGAAAGCTGAATTTTCAGCAGTCATTACAGGGCTCCAGACTGCGACTAAAAATATTAATTTTGCGAGTTTTTTCTGAGGTCGCCACTGGCGACTATATATATTTACATGCTATTTCTTAAAAATTTGCATGTAATGCCTTTTTGCCTGATTGTTTTGCGATCGCATCATTTGCTATGTTCACGTATTAAACTGAGACGATGCACATTGCGCATCAAAGTTTTAGTGGAAAAAAGAGTTTCAAACAGTCCTTATCTCTGCTGAACAGCAGCGCTGACGCACCTGTTAAACGCAGCTCAGTTGTGCAGTGCGAGAGAGATCGAAATGACGGAGACGTGCAAGTAAAAGTGTGGGAAAACAGAGTCTATTTCGTGCACAACGTCCATTAATCGCAAAATGCTTTGTTACTTTTTAATAAACAAAGTATCAGCTTTAAAATTATGCCAAATTCGTAACAAAATTCAAATACAGTTTTGCCGCTCTTTAATGCGGCAGGCGTGATCGCTTTAGCGCCTCAGTTCAAGCGACAAGTGAACCCATTATATCTTTCTGTTTACTACTGTAGTACATAATGAACATGAATTAACATCAAAATGTAGCCTATTTTGTAAGAGAGACTACAGTACAACTTACTGAAATGTCTCATGTAAAAGCTCATTCAATGTTTCAAACTGTGGAAAACGTGTAAAGCTTGTAAACATTGCAACATAATTATACATTTACCTCCGAATAACCATTCGGTGTCCATAAGCTCATCAGTCAGCTAGAAAAATAACTATAAAGAAGAGCATTTTGCTATATTTATGTGCTATTGGATGTTAATATTTTTACTTAACCTGTTACATGATTCAACTCCTCCTACAAAATTGCATTTTACTAATGAAGAAAAACAGACTGAATGTGTGAAAGACGTATGACAACACTTATAGCATGCACCGAGGAGGAGCCCAAACTACACTCAGTGGTCAAGTGATGCTTATGGTCCATGACATTGGTACAGATTCTGTGTCATGAACAATTCTTTGTGACTATATATTTCAAGTTGGAAAAGACGTTTAATTCCCACTTTAAGTGAACCTTAGTTCCCAGGTCATCTACAAGATCGATTAAAATGCTGATAAATTCAAGAAAAGATGAGACATAATCACTTGAAAGTATGATTTAAATGTTAAAAAATAATAATAAAATAAATAAAACACGTTTATTCTGTGGCACCTAAAAAAATAATTTGGCACCTAAAATTTTTTCTTATAGGAGCCAATGGCTCCTTACTCGATTTTTTTGTTTGGAGCCCTGCATTACTCCAGTCTTCAGTGTCACATGATCCTTCAGAAATCATTCTATTATGCTGATTTGCTGCTCAAGAAACTTTAGTGTTGTCAGTGTTGAATTATCAATGATATTAGCAGTTCAAAGGAACAGCATTTACCGGTATTTGAAATAGATATTTTGTGACAATATATAGTCTTAACTGTCACTTTTGATGAATGTTTGATTTCTTTAATTTACCTTGCTGAATATAAGTTATTCATTTTTTTTTTTTTTTAATCCTACAGACCCCAAACGTTTGAATAATATAATATCATATAATATAAAGTGGTCTATTTCTGCTGCTACAGAGGTGGAACATGCTACAGTCACAACCAGAATTATTTCTCAGATTAAGACTAAAGGAGCTGTGGGTATCGGCTTCACTTTCTTTGGGACATCCTTCCTCTTTATTACGTCCCATTTCACCTGTAAGTGGAATATTTCATGAAAATCTTAAGAAATCCATGGGCAACCAACCCAGTTATATAAAAGCCATTTAAATGAATGTTTATAATGACTATGGCATTCCATTTATGCCCAACTATAAATAAACCCAACCCAACAATCTTTGTATTTGTTTCAGCTGGAGATTCTAAAGTATATGAGAGGATCTTGGATTACAACAAAATCATGGAAGCTTTGGCACTTCCTAGAAACCTTCCTGATACCAACCCTTACCGCTCCACATGTGAGTGTTTCTGCGTTTGTCATATTTAGAGATTTCATTGTGCATGTATTTTCTTGTTAATGAGCAAATTTCTTTATTTATTCTTTGTTTATTCTCAGCTGATGTCACAACCCGTTTTGATGAAGTCTTCTGGTTTGGAGATTTTAACTTCCGCCTGAATAAAGCCAGAGGAGAGGTGGAGGCCATTCTGAATCAGGGTGTGGGCGCAGATATGAGCCCACTATTACAACATGACCAACTGTTGAAAGAGATGAAAGAAGGCAAGTTAGATGCAGAATTACAGTCCTGTGCAATTTATACAGTATTTATGCTCCTTTCAAGAAAAATTATTAATTCTTTGTACTTTTAACAGGAAGAATCTGTGTTTGTGCATTTATAGGTTCCATTTTTGAAGGGTTTCAGGAAGCAGCTATTCAGTTTCCTCCTACGTACAAGTTTGACATTGGTTGTGACGTCTATGACACCACCACAAAGCAGAGAACACCCTCATATACAGTAAGCTTTTTTGCTAATTGCATGTACATCACTATATACCCTTTAGTACAGTTGTTGATTTTTCCTCATTTGTTGACAGGATCGGATTCTGTATCGAAACAGACAAGCAGATGACATTAAAGTGGTCAAGTATACATCTTGCTCGTCCATTAAGACATCAGATCACCGGCCTGTCATTGGCATGTTTCAGGTCAAACTTCGTCCAGGCAGAGATAAGTAAGCATCTGTTTACGATGATTTTAACACTTGTACTTGTTTCTACTAATTTAGTAGTCATCTAGCAAAGTAGTTGAAGACTATCAAATTAAAATTCTGTCAACATTTACTCACCCTCATGCTGTTCCAAACATCAAGCTTTTCATCAATTTACAAAATATAATGTACTGTTTTGAAGTCTGTTTATGTTTCTTTCATGTAGGTTTGATAAACCACTAAATCAGTGTATTATCCTCCCCAGCATTCCTTTGGGTGCTGGCCAGTTTGACAGGAGCCTGTATCTAGAAGGAATCCGTAGGAGAATCACCAGGGAGCTGAAAGAGAGAGAGGCAGCCATGAAAAACCAGAATAACAGCACGGTTTGCACCATATCCTGATCAGGGACCAGCGTGCGAGAGCCGTAGGGTGCTAAAACGGATCATTTCAGACACCCAAGGTAGTGACTTGGAAAGCTGGACTTTCGAGACCAAAGGATAACTCAGTACTACAGATGTCAAGTGCACAGTCCAGGGACTAAAAGACTTCTGCTGGACGTTTAGCAGCTAGTATTGGAACTATAAAATATTATATAAATCTATAAATTATACTGACCGAAGTAAATGAAGTTAACTGTACTGTACATCCGTTATTCCTAATTCATTTTTTTTATTATTTCATATTCTGGTATTTAACTTGCAAGCCAAAATGGTCTGTTCTGTGTATGGTTTCAAATGATAGTGTTTCATGGCCTTGTTAAACCATTAACTGATACTGTAAACACATACCAGTACCAGGTAGCTGATCCTGCTCATTTTATTGGCTCCTGGGTCTCATTTTTGAAGTTTTACATAATAGTGTGCTAACAGTTGTACTCTTTTATAAAAGGGAACTGTACTGTAGCATCATTACCAGCAAAATGAGGTTGAATTTGTGTTAGCAGCTGTTTTTATTTATGGATTGATAGATCAATGTGGGATCATGTAGAGAGGCTGACCTTGGGTTAAATTGTGTGCAGAATCTTAAGTGAGGAGGCACAGACTATGCTTGTTTACTGTCTTAACATATCTAATTTAATTCAGCTTACTTGATGTCAAGTGTGATATATGTATGGGAGCAGGAACGACCATAGTATTGGTATTGCTTGCGCATGGATCTCAGTGACTGGTGTAATAGTAAATCATGCATTTCAGTTCTATTTGTACTGAAAGTGCCTGCAATCTCTCTCATGACTGCCTCAGTGACTTTCTAATACATTCTGCGGTTTAAAACTGTTATGTTTGTTTACTATGTAAAGTAATATAAAAACTCATACCTGAAGTGTTATGTCTTATGAGTTTGTTTCAGTTACACAGTTTGAACCAAATATGTTTTGGGATTCAAACAAACCAAGGAACCTGTTTCTCAATATTCAAATTGTACATGAAAAAAATAATACAAAGGATCAAACTTTTATTTTTTTTAAGGGAACGTAACATTTTTTGCTCATGACAGATTCAACCATAGTCATCTTAATAGCAATGGAAATATATAACAGTAAACTTGTACTGATGAAGTACAAGGGAATAAATATATTTTTGTAGGTTAATCCAACACAAACGGCTAAACAGACATGAAAAAACAATTCTTGATTAGTGATCGGAGGTTCATGTTAACAGTGATTTAGCAAGAGAAAAGGGGTTATTCATATACACTGTTTTCACTGCTAGGCTAAGTGGTAGATAAGTCTGTGTCATTCTGTTTTTTTTTTTATATATCAAGGTTTGGCCAGTTTTACACAAAAGCACAGCCTATGAATGACAATGCAAAAATGTGAACAAATGGCATAGAAAAATGCACTAATTGAGCCAATTAAGATAGAAATGTGAAATTAGCACATTCATTTATGTTAAACACATGGTGAGTTCAACAAAATCATGCAAAATAATGCATTGGTGTGTAAAACTAAACTCTGTCATCACCCCAGCATTTCAAATTTAAAAGAATTCTCCACCCAAATATGAAAATGGTCATTTACGCACCCTCATGTCATTACATGCTATGTTCCACAGTAGAAAGTCCTACAGTTTTGAAATGACATGAGGGTGAGTAAATAATGACAGACTTTTTGGGTGAACTATCGCTTTAAAGTCACGTTTTAAACACTTTATAGATGAAACGCAACCACAGTCCTAAACATTGCACTTAAATTCCAGTCGAGAATAGTATTTGTTGGGTCAGTCCTCATATTTGCCCCTAGATGGTGCCAGCTGTCTGTCCCCTATCGGAACAGGCGGTATATGCGAGGCAGACGTCCGTCTTTACTAGAGAGAGCGGCCTGAATGTCCTCGTACAAGGGCAGCTCTGATAGATCTCCCAGCGCTGCTACAGCAGGCTTACTACGCAGCATTTTCATTGTAACTCTCTTGATGTCACTGGCTGTAACATTACCTAAAACAAAGAAAAGTGGAGCGAAAAAGAGTCTGTTAATTGATATTTTTTAGCAAACAGACGTCTCCAAGAAAGATCTAGTGAATGGCATGATACTGATATAACATATTCAAGACAAGTAATGCAATTATTAAGTTAAATATGTACAGTCATTACACTCCAGTCTTCAGTGTCACATGAACATTTAGAAATCATTCTAATATGCTGATTTGCTCATTTTTAAACGATTGTGTATTAAGTATTTTGTGAATGTTAAAAACATACATTTACACGCTAAATTATGCTTTCATATAGGCTTTATACTCTGCAGTAGCATCAATACTTACTGATGAGCTCACACAGCTCATGTGGCAGCTTCCTCTTGCCTGTGGCAAGTACTTGTCGACCTACATCTTCAAAGATGACCGGTCGTGACTCCAGGTTCATCATGAGCATGGATTTCAGTTGTGTCTTGGCTCTCTCTAGCTCCATCTGCACAAGTGAGAGATTTCAGGTTATGAACGCAACAAATTCACTATGAGTAACAAACGCAACCTTTTCACAGACTGCGATGACGTGTGATCAGTTATTAACATTGTAAATCTAGAACATTTGTCATTTTTAAAAATGTAATACACATTAAAATTTGACATCTATCTGTGTTCTGAACACTAATCAAGCTCTTGATATCGTTTTCCTCTATTGGAAAGTCATGGAAATCCTATGGTGGATTTCACAGTGTTTCTGCAGGTTTTATAAAGGCTTGAATAGCTCTGCTCGCAACCACTCGAATATAGAAATAACTTTTACCTTTCCTTATGATCACATCTTGCAAAAAAGAGAGGTTCTTGCTCAGTATTTCAGTCTTGTTTTCTAGTGCAAATATCTAAATTAAATGAATTTATGTTTAAAATAAATAAATATCTGCCAGTGGGCTCAGAAAAATCAGCCAAATTCAACAGCAAAACAGGATTTCATGCCCCGTTTGTTCTTGTTTTAATCAAACTTATTTTGCTCAATTTCTTGCATGGTAAATTTACATCAAGTAATTGTAATTTGATTTAAAGACGTTTAGATTGGAAACAAGGCAAAAAGAGTTAGATATGCATGCAACATTTAATGCCATGACTTTATAAATTTCATACTTTTTCCTCAGATTTAAGACCTTTTTAAGGCCTTAATTTGTGGAAGGGCGAATTAAGACTTTTTAAGATCTGCAGAAACCCTTTTTGTATGTTTTGCTTTGGGAGCAAATGGGAACTCAAAAAATGCATGTTGTAGTTTCCATTCATCACTATAGAAGTTGACCCAACTATATGACAACTTCACTTCTGATAACCCCAGAAATGTGACGAGGGTCAGTAACAAAAGGAAGGTCTTACTTCTCCTGCTGTCCCAGCCATCTGAATAAACTCCCTTGTTATGATCTCCACCATTTCTCGCACCTAAAATAAATAAATAAATGGTTTAAAATAATGCAGTGCATGGTAGTCATATTTACAACATAAACCTAACTACAGTACCTGTCTAGGGTCTGCACTTGCATGGATACACAGCAGACCACTATCTTCATAGCTGTGGTGGTACGAAGTAGCATTGTACATCCAGTGATGCCTGTACAAACAACAACAAATTGCTGAAAACTGTTCACTACATTAATTACAGTGGCATTTCGGAGTATGAAGAGATGATGCCACACCTGTTGAGCACATTAAGGTAGAGACGGGTGAACATGCCTTTTCCGGGCCCTCCGGCAGAGAAGGATCCTCCACCTCCCATCATCATATTGAGGACCGCAAAGGGGATGAAGTCATCCTCCTATACATCACAAAAAAAAACAAGACTTGCGTCAGCACATAACCATTTTCAGCAAGTGTGAAATTGAACTGATTTGACTGACTGATATGTGTAACAAACCAAAAAGGAGCAGCTCTCCAGCCCAATCATGATGTGCGTTAGTTCAGGGATGGGTGTCGGACCCAAACTCACATCTGACATGTCCTTCACCATCTGACATGAGACAAGCAGCTTAGCTGAAGTCATTTAGGAATCTACCAAATGATTAGGGCTTGGTAAGAAATATCGATATCTCGATTTTAATCGATTCTCATTTTTACAGAATGATATCGACTCTTAAATCCTCTTAAAAGAATCGATTAGTCTAGCCCAGGGCTGTCCAAACTCGGTCCTGGAGGGCCGGTGTCCTGCAGAGTTTAGCTCCAACTTGCCTCAACACACCTGCCTTTAAGTTTCTAGTATGCCTAGTAAGAGCTTGATTAGCTGGTTCAGGTGTGTTTAATTGGGGTTGGAGCTAAACTCTTCAGGACACCGGCCCTCCAGGACCGAGTTTGGGCAGCCCTGGTCTAGCCTGTTTTCAATTAATGGACGGAATGTTGAAGGGCACTTCCCATCCAATAAATCGCAATAAGCATTTTGCTTTGGTACTTTTAATATGAAACAAAGTCTCAGATTTCAAATTCTGCATTGTATTGCAGTATTCAAACAATAAATGTAATTTTGGCGCTGTTTAATGTGGAGTGACAGATCGCTGTAGCGCCTCGATCAACAGATGTGAACTGATCATCTCCTCCACATTAATACCAGTTTCAGCACAAAATAAACATGACTAAACATCCGAAGGTAAGTTAAAAGAAAGTACAACTTTACAATCCATATCCTGTCTCATGTAATCGCTCAATCAGTGTTTCCTCCGCGCAAAGACGCCAATATAACGGCTTATAAACAATGTGTCACGTAACGTCACATTTACCTCAGAAAAACATATGTGGTGACCATAAACTCATTAATCAGAAATAAACTGTAGAGAGGGGCATTTTGCTAAATATATGCACCATATAACATATTCATTATAATTTTTACTGTTCTTCAATGTTTAATTTATGTTTGAATAAATCCATCAAGTTTTTATGACAGCCACCATTTAAATGTTTTTTTTTTTTCAAAAAGAAGTAGGTAGAAGTATTATTATGCAATTGTAACTATTATTTTAAAAACTTAATTAAGTGTAATTTTAGCAGTTGTATATTAGCCTACAACTCAATTTTAACCTTTTAATATTATAGTAATGTAGTACCAACTGACTCTCATGTATATTTTACAGCTTTAGTTGATAGATTTATTTTCCTTGAGAAAATTTGGCACGTACTATAGCTGATATTTATCCAAAATAATCGATATTGAATCGAATCGAATCGCAAGCTTGTGAATGAGAATCGAATCGTAAAATTTGTGTCAAAACCCAGCCCTACAAATGATGTTTGCTGGTCTTATAAATTCGCTCACCTTAACAATGCCACCCGTGTATTGTGCTACAGACTTGTCGACGTTGGCAGGTGTGCTCGTGCTCCATACTGGTTTAACATTTAGGAGATACTTCCTGGCACACTGAACAAGCTGCTCGTGTTCAATCCCAACCCCAGCCAGCACCATGCGCTGCGGACAGTAATAGCTCTGTAGGTACTTATGAAGCAGCTTCCTGTCGATCTTCTCAACATTTTCAGGAGGGCAGAAGCGAGGCAGGCCCACCGTGTTGCCCCTGTATGCGGCCTAAATATCGAAGAGACCATCAAATAAGACTTAGAAGCTCATTTCAATAACCTACAGCAAAGTATAAAGTCATACTCACAGCATGAATCATTTCTGTTAGTAAAGGCTCCGGGTCAGGTCTCATGTTCAGATCCTCCAACTCAAACCGAACAGCCATTCTGGTCATCTCAATCTCCTCATCTGAAGACATAAGTTACATACAATACCAGTCAAAAATATAATCATTTTGTAAAGTTTTTTGAAGACTCTTATGCTAACCAAGGCAGCATTTGATTAAAAATATATAATTAAAATGTTATTTATTCCTGTTATGTCAAAGCTGAATTTTCAGCAGCCATTACTCCAGTCTTCAGTGTCACATGATCCTTCAGAAATCATTCTAATATGATTTGCTGCTCAGTTATTATTGGTACTCCGTTAATAATAATGGTTCTTATTATTATCATGGTCATTTATCATGGTCACTTATTATTATGTTGAATAACACTTGTGCTGCTTAATATTTTTTATGAAAACTGATATTTTTTCAGCATTCTTTGATTAATAGAACGTTGAGTAAACAGAACAGCATTTATTTGAAATAGAAATCTTTTGTAACATTATAAAAGTCTTTACTCTCACTTTTGATCATTTTAATGAGTCCTTGCTGAAGTATTAACTTCAACTTTTTTCTCTCTCTCACTTACCCCAAACTTTTGAATAGTAGCATATCATGGTTTCCACAAATATATTATACAGCAGCAAAACTGCTTTTAACACTGATAATAACAAACATTTCTTAAGCATCATACATTACAATTTTAATTATTCAAAAATTTTGACCTGTCATATATCTTTAACTGTTTCAAAGATTCATTAAAGATTCAATGAATCAGTTGTGTTTCAGATGCTCACCTAATAAACGGGGCTGTAGAACCGCATCTGACAGAAGGTTCACTACAGTATCCAGACCCTTCACTTCAGCTGAAACCGCATACATTGTTGTGTCCCTGTAAATGACAGAAATAAATAAATAAACGAGGTAAACAGAAAAGAATAAATAAAAAAGAAAATAAAAGTCTCAGACCTGGATGTTTGGCAGTCACATATGCCTCCATGCTTCTCAAGTGTTAGAAGAATCTCATCTTTACTTTCAAACTGGGCTGTGGACTTAAATCGAAGAACCAATCAGACTCAGATTAGTTTAGTGCATTTAAATCAGAAAAACTGTGTCAGTAGAAAAAAAAAAGTAGAACAATTCATGCAATCCAACTCATGAACATTAACAGACTTACAGAAAAGGAAAGCTTTTCCAAAAAGTGTGCAATTCCGCTGGGATATTTTGCTTCATGACGTGAGCCTGAGTTTACTAGAACTAAAAACAAGCAGATTAAATAAAACCCTCAGTATCTGGTTCAGCTCATTTGAATCAAACACAGTACATGCTACGCTTTGTACTCACTTCCAACTGTACAGAATTGACCAAATTTGTTCCGAGATGCAACTTTGAGTCCGTTTTCTAAGGTGGTGATTTTAGTCTCGTATTTCTCATGGCCGTCCACAGAGGCAAAGACAGGCTTGGGGATCCCGGGCAGCGGTGTGGACAGGGACACACTGGGATACGCACTGCTGTACTGCCTACAGACTGCGATGCCAAACCTGCAGTAATCATACACTGACTGTACTGCCTGCTTCTACAGGTATCTCAACATTAAACACACGACAACACAGTTAAACCATAAGCAATAATAATAACATATCCACACTGGCGATTGTAATATTTGCTGTCAATACAGGGAAAGCACGCGAGATTTTGAAGTTTCTCACATGTGCATTATCGCTATAACAAACGATTTGACAAAGTAGACAGAGAATATATAATATATTACTTTATAAAGTCAGCGCAAACATGCGGCTACGGCTGTACACATGTAACGCACTTCCTTTCGATACGTGAATAATTATGACATTAACGTTAGATCAAACCTCTGCGCTCGGCTCCAGCCCATTAATCTTGACATGTGAGCAGCCATGTTGGATTCTGAGCATGAGCGTTGCCCGGAAATGATTATTAAACACTTCCTATTCTATGTTGCCATGATCGAAGGTTGTGGCAAAAAACCCGGAAGCTAACAATAAATTTAATTTTCTACCTATTAGATTGTGTTTTATTAACGTCTACACCTACCCCAACCCTAAACCTACCCCTTACAATAATACAAAAATAGTAATTATTGTTGTACAGTGTGAGAAAAAATACGCTATATTGATGTGCGCATGCCCAGTATGCAGTATGCCATCTAGCCTTAAAGGGGTCCTATTATGCTTTTTCACTTTTTCAACTTTAGTTAGTCTGTAATGTTGCTGTTTGAGCATAAAAAAGATCTGCAAAGTTACAAAGCTCAAAGTCCACTTCAAAAGGAGATATTTTATTTAACCGATATCACTCTTCACTTTTCACATATTTTCCGGGATTTGTGATATCACAAATATCGACGAATGGGACGAGACCTGGTTGAGCTGCACTAGAGAAGGCAACAAGTGTTATCACTATGTCGGAGACACGCTAGCAGACGAACTTAGAGTGGTTACAATCATCCGTGTTTAAATCGCGATCAAATTGATTTGATATTGACGCAATATTTACACTGAAGCTTGTAGTAAGCTATGTGAAATGACACATGAAGAACTATGGTAAGACACCCCCAAAACAAAATCAAGACTTTGTAAAATAGCATAATAGGCCCCCTTTAACCATGATCGAATGAATGAATAAATAAATACATTTATCTAAAGTCTGTTCGAATAGACGGGATATGTAAATATCGAGGATAGATTTAGAAATATATATATATATATATATATATATATATAACAATAAATTGAGTTTAAATTTATAATTTAAAAATTAAATAAAAGAGTTTATATTTCCACAGAGTCTGCTGTGAATCATGATAGAGACAAGTTGCATGCCTGGAATGAATGGATTAAGACTGGTAATATGAAAAGCTTTCGCACGTTATGTTGCCATGTGTGTTTGCTACTGTTTTCTGATATAATATATAATGAATCAGTGCAGTATATGATTGAACATGAGCTTAATCGAGTTGGCTTACAGCAACTTGAGTCCATGTATGAAAGTATTGTCTGTGAATGGTGTGTCAAAGCAGACTGGTACCCTCTGTTACAAACGGGGGAACAAAGCACCACTTTAATTTACAGCCCGCAACTGTTGTATTTACCCTGTAACTACATGGAACAAGGGGGGAACAAAGCACCACTTTAATTTACAGCCCGCAAATGTTGTATTTACCCTGTAACTACGTGGAACAAGGGGGGAACAAAGCACCACTTTTAATTTACTGCCCGCAAATGTTGTATTTACCCTGTAACTACATGGAACAAGGGGGGAACAAAGCACCACTTTAATTTACAGCCCCGCAAATGTTGTATTTACCCTGTAACTACATGCAACAAATTATATATATATATATATATAACAATAAATTGAGTTTAAATTTATAATTTAAAAATTAAATAAAAGAGTTTATATTTCCACAGAGTCTGCTGTGAATCATGATAGAGACAAGTTGCATGCCTGGAATGAATGGATTAAGACTGGTAATATGAAAAGCTTTCGCACGTTATGTTGCCATGTGTGTTTGCTACTGTTTTCTGATATAATATATAATGAATCAGTGCAGTATATGATTGAACATGAGCTTAATCGAGTTGGCTTACAGCAACTTGAGTCCATGTATGAAAGTATTGTCTGTGAATGGTGTGTCAAAGCAGACTGGTACCCTCTGTTACAAACTGAGATACTGTGTGGTGTTTTTCAGGTATCAGCACAGAGACTCTTCTCATGTTAGAACAAGCTTTCTGCTTACCAGATCTTCATGCCAATGCTGATTTATATTTCCTAGAAGAAAATTCGGTAACGACAGCTGGAAAGAGGTAAGCTTGTTTTAAGCTGCATTGAACCTTGATGGTATATCATGCAAAGTTATTTGGTGATAGTGGTGTTGAGAAGTTGCTGGTGTGAAGTTGCTGAAATCGACGAATAAGCTTTCATAAGGTAAGTAGATTTGTGAATTATAAATCATAGCAGAAACCCATTAACTAATTTCCCTAGATGTCCAGTTTTGTTGTTCTGTAATCTGCATCATGTCCATCCTTTAATAATAGAATGTGTACCCCATAGTTAAAAAATACCTATACGCCTATAATAAAATACCAATATAAAATTATAAAAATTATATATCGTCTTTCTAAATCATTCCCTTTAACTTTAAACCGCATAAACACATTTCATTACACCAAATACACCAAATAATGTTCTTTTTAGCAGCATCATATGACCGCTTTAAGCTGCGTTGAACCTTGATGGTATATCATGCAAAGTTATTTGGTGATAGTGGTGTTGGGAAGTTGCTGAAATCGATGAATAGGCTTTCATAAGGTAAGTAGACTTGTGAATTATAAATCATAGCAGAAACTCATTAACTCATTTCACTAGATGTCCAGTTTTGTTGTTCAGTATTCTCCATCATGTCCATCCTTTAATAATAGAATGTGTACCCCATGGTTAAAAAATACCTATACGCCTATAATAAAATACCAATATAAAATTATAAAAAGTATATATCGTCTTTCTAAATAATTCCCAAACATAAGATTGTTGTTTAGGCCATCCATATCACGTAATATTAGAATAAGCACCTCTTAGTTTCAAAATACGGTATAAATGATTTGTAATTTTACAGGTTGTTACCCCTTTATTCCCCACACTTCACATATTATTCCCTAATACCTACACAGAGGTACTGAATAGGTACACTATAATTACAAAAAAGTTACGCTGTAACTTCAGTTTACTTACGCAGTTCTTTGCAGGTTGCATATCTGGTTGTTACCCCCTTATTACCTAAACGTAACACATTGTTCCCTTATGCCTACACGTATGTTCTTTACAGGCACACTATAATTACAGAAACGTACACCGTAAATTCAGTATACTTACATAGTTCTTTGCGGGTTGTAATCTAAAGCATTACCGAAAATTCTTCTTGTTCTGTCAAGTCTCATTTGGATTGGGATTCTTCTCATGTAAATATGGTCATAATATTCTAACCTACCCTTCTTTTCTAACCTTTTTGTTGAATCCTTATATTAATCAGAAAAGGTCATGCTAATTAAAACAGAATTTGTAAATATTAATGGTAATAGTAAGATTGCTAACATTAGTTAACTACATTAGTTAACACAAACAGCACTTCTACAGCATATATTAATCTTAGTAAAATTTTTAACATTTACTAATTCATTTTTTAAATCATAAGTTGTATTTGTTAACATTAATTAATGCAAATAAAGAACAGTGTATTTTATTAATAGTACTCATGTTCGCTAATGTATTACCTAATGTTATCATATGAGATCTTATTGTAAGGTGTTACTATATCAGAATCAGAATCAGATATCAGAATCAGAAAGAGCTTTATTGCCAAGTATGTTTGCACATACAAGGAATTTGTTATAGTGTCACAAGCTTCCAGTACACGGAGACAACAACAACACACAGATAATAAAAATAAGATGTGAATAAAATACACATGCTTAACAACTACGGAGCCCTGGAAGTCACCTGTAGGAGAAAAAAAAAAAATCCGTCCCCTCAGTTTATAAACCGTACTCACGAATTCTTAAACTGTTCCCTCGGTTTAACAAATCGTGCCCACGGATTAATAAACCGTACCCACGAATTTCCAATCCGTGCGCTCAGATTTTGTAAACCGTACCTTCGATTTTTTAATCCGTACCCACAAATTCATAATCCGTGCGCACGCTTTCGCAATCCGGTCCCTCGGGTTTGTAAACTGTACTCACGGATTCATGCCGTAAAGCTCCTAAGGTAGCCTACATGTTAACAAATCATATTGTGTATTGTTTTATTGCATATTATTATGTGAAATAGGCCTACAGCAAATAGTCTTAAGTGATTATCTATCAATTGTAACGGTACGAGGTGGAATACAACGATTTAATAAGAAAGATGTGCATCAAAATCTTTGTGATAATCTTAGCACTTGATTATTATTGTATAATAAACCTGGCATTGTGACTGACTTTGGAGTCATTTGTTCCTCTTTTGTAAGTCGTGCTGGATAAAAGCTTCTTCTAAATGCATATGTAACCTAAATGTATAATAATAATAATAATAATAATAGCTATTATTATTATTTTAATTTATAGGCTAAATAAATGAGTGCACTTAAGACAGTAAAATGTTTGTCATAAAATAATTAATGAATGCTTTATTTTTAAATAACCTTTTACAGTTTTGGAACTGTGTTTGTGTACTATTCATTCTTAACATATTTCATTCATTCATTCACAGACGTATTTAGGTGATTTTATTATACTAAGCCTTTCCCCCCAGAGTTAGATGTTAAAGTTATTAATAAATAACTAGGCCTATTATAACATTGCATTCAGTTAGAGAGCAAAGGAATGACAACATAACCGGTACATTATTGGTTTTGTATTGCTTTTTACCTTATTCTCTCGAAACTCTATCGTTTTTTAATTTTTTTTTTAGAAAATTCAGGACATTTTCTATTCTTCTTTTTAGCGTTTATTTTAGGCTATAAAACACAGGCGGCGGTGTTTTATCCTATTGGTGATTAATATAAAATAAACGCTAAAAAGAAGACTATTTGTGAGAGCGGATCATGGTCTCATTCATAGGCTACTATGAAAAATAATGTTTAATAAACACAATACTATGCATCCCGCACCGTGGTTGAATCTGCCGGTGGGGGCGGGGCCACAAATCCATGAGTTTACAAACCCGAGGGAACGGATTGCGAAAGCGTGCGCACGGATTATGAATTTGTCGGTACGGATTCAAAATCCGAAGATACGGTTTACAAAATCTGAGTGCACGGATTGGAAATTCGTGGGTACGGTTTATTAATCCGTGGGCACGATTTGTTAAACCGAGGGAACAGTTTAAGAATTCGTGAGTACGGTTTATAAACTGAGGGGACGGATTGCAAAAC